TCCTAACCAGCATAACATGATTGTCATTCTACACTAGTTGAGGTTCTGGCCCTCTAAAGAATGACAATTAAGTTCACTGTTATTCTCATTCAAAATTACCAAATTGGACAACCATGGGTAGAAATGTAACAATGTACTTTGATGTTTAGCAAACAAATGATTTTAATGCTTTCTTGACAGTATGAAGAAAAAAGTTACTAAATGCTAGTAATAAAGCAAATAGAACTGGTTGAGAAAAATGTAAAGCCAGACTTTCTAATAATGCTTGACATCTAGAAGCATCTGAGAATTCTACTTAAAATACTAATAAAAGGGAAAACTTAGGGAAAAAAAATACACTGATAGCTGGAAAGCATGCCTGACGAGACAGCAACAAAACGGCACATACACTCACAAGACAAAAATTTCTCTGCAAGAATCCTAAATGCTATCCTTTTAGGAAGTCATTCAATGTTAAAAACTTGAAAAAGGCACTCTTGATCTTGTAGCTTCACTGAGATGATCTCCATGAAGCGTGAAAATAATAAAGAAAATACGGTATGTAAAATTGTTTGTATAGACTACTACTGAATTGCTGCAAGATGGTGAATAGAATCAATGCAAACAGTGGCTGGACTAACTTTCAATTCTCTTCTGCTGCTCAGTGTGGGGATGAAGTAGCATAAATACAGTTATTGGATAAACTAACATTTAAGAATGGAAGGTAAGAACATACAGCACAACATTTAAAATATATGTCAGTAAGGACAATGCTAGAAGAAATTGAGGAATCATGGGAGATGTGGTGCCCAGGACCAGTGAAGCTTACTAGCTTCGTTGTAGCTAGCTGTAATTTTATACAACTTCTTAATGTTTGACTTATGTGACTATCAGTTGAAGACTTGAATTACCCAATTACTTGATCCAAAGATTTTTTTTTTTTCCTATTTATTGCAATTTTGTAACTTGCTGGCTTTTCACAGAAACATGTAACATTATAACATACTGTTAATTATATTTATCAATCATTTTAATTTTATTATTAATAAAATACTATTAATTCTAAACAACAATATGATGATAGGTGTAATATACAAAAAGGATAAACAGAAAGGAGGGAAAAGTTTTTCAGCAGAAGAACCAGTTTTAGTTTGAGAACAGTAGATGACTCACTGTTAACTACAAACGTGGCTAATAATCCATGCAAGTAACACTCCTATTTAGCAGCGATGCATACTTTCATTGGTAATAAAAATATTGTATAAACCACATTAAAATGATGTTGAAAAATATAATAAACAAAAATATTTTAAGGGTAACTTAGAGCAGCTTTTAAAATTTCAAACAATGCCTATAAGCTGTATTACTAATGCGACTTAACCGTCTTGTAGTTATGCAGCAATATGCTTCGCTTCTTCCCCATGTTCTCAGCTGTCCTTCCATCACAAGCATCCCAGCCTTTTTTCTGCTTCGGTCTGGTAAGAGACAGAAAGTTGTGACCACTTCAGAGCCACACATGATCATTGTCAGCTAAGTACTGTCAGCTCACTGGTGGGCAAGTATGAAGTTGTTTGGAGACTGCATGCATCCACTGGGCCATGTATTGTGCTCGGTTACTGCTGCAACTTAGGATGGCATCCACTGAAGGCATGTTTAGCTTAGGAAGGTATTCTTCTTCTAAGGTATTCTTATTCTATGATTCTATCATTCTTGTGCCTCTTCTTCCCAATGGAAGAAACAAACAGGCCTGCAGTGCACAATTCCTCTCACTTCCTTTAGGTGTCTGCTTTGAATGGCCTCTGGGGTTTCCCATCCACAAAATAAATAATAAAAAAAAATTAAAAAAGCAATCCCCCTATGGTGAACTTTGCCTTTGTGAACACTCCCTTATGATATGCTTCACATTTTTACAATTGTTAAATTTGATTGTACCTGCTCAAAGCTTTTAGAGGCTAATGGGGTGGGGTAAAGACTGATAGGTGGACAGTAAAATTTCATTCTTCTATTTTATCATGAGTCCTCACTAAAAATAGCAGTTGTACTGTTTTTCCAATATGTACTCACTGTAAGAAAAGAATTTAGGCCTTGCAGTGCACTTTTTAAAACCGTGTACAGTTAAGAGAAAAATACTGTTTCATATACAGATAAAATTCAATTAGACCAGTAAAAAAAAAAAAGTTTAGCGTTTCATGAGGTCCATCTAGTGGAGATGACAGTGATCACAGGCTCAAAAAAAAACCAAACACAAAAATCAGAGGCTCAGAAAAATTAGAAAAGCACTAAGTACACCTAACGTAGATGGGATGAGTGGACCAAATTATTTCCTGGCAATTTCAATATAGTAATTTCCAGAGACAACACAGCCTTGTGTTTTTAAATTTAATTCATAAGAAATATATTTCATTTACAACTATTCCTGTTTACAATAAGCCATTTCCCATCAATAAAGTCTCAGAACACCAATTACTCTGAATTCTACTCTCAGTGCACATTGGATAGAAATCTATCACATCCATTTCTGATCTAAGAAGTTGTTTTTTAAAGATGGTATTTTCAATAAGGATAAAAGCAATCTTTTTCATGAAGTCATAGATTAATTTAGGTTGGCAAGAACCTAGGTCCTTTCCCAAGGTCATTGGGTCCCACCCCCTGGCTCTGAGCGAGGCAAACTTTGAAATTACAGTAGGTTGTGCAGTGAGTGCTGAGTTCAGGCTCTAATCTATGAGTATGGACTTTTCTTTTTTCTTTAATTTAAAGACAGTATTAATATAAAGATACAGAAGTAATTTAGAAATCAACAGATTTTCCCATTTTCTTTGAGGACCTCTGTCAAAGAGTTTTCTACCTTAACTTTGCCTTAAAATTCAATTTTAAATCATGCCATTTTTCCCTCTGAAAATAAACTTTAGGAAATGGTTACTCTCAGAAACAGCAAAGGATAAATCAAAGATATATGAAGTGCCTGTACGACAGACAGATTGCATGGGCAAGCCAACAAAGAGTTAATAAGTGGAAACTGGTTAAGTATCACCAAAAATGCAGATAGTGGTGAGAAAAATCTACTGGATAAATATTTTGAAAAAATGATTGGTGGGTTTGAAGGAAGTCAAATCAACATAGGACCTAAATAACAGCCAACAACTTAAAATGATGAAAGCCAGTCTATTAGACTTTTAAAAAAATATTAGACAATAGCAATATAGCATAATAGCTGCATTCTGAACTAGCTGGAATGAAAATAAATAAGAGAGACAGACTGAGTGGTTTCAGTAACTTTGAAAAAATGATTGGTGGGTTTGAAGGAAGTCAAATCAACATAGGACCTAAATAACAGCCAACAACTTAAAATGATGAAAGCCAGTCTATTAGACTTTTAAAAAAATATTAGACAATAGCAATATAGCATAATAGCTGCATTCTGAACTAGCTGGAATGAAAATAAATAAGAGAGACAGACTGAGTGGTTTCAGTAACATGAGAAAAAAATTAGATTAAAAATCACTACTGTAAGTAAAGGTCTCTGTGTTGATAATAAAAGCAGTATTAGGACTATAGAAAGGAAACTGAGAAAAAACAGAAGAGTTCAGAGGGTAGAGGGGATAATGGAACAAATGACAGAGAAGTGTGTATGATGTTAATTACAACCAAAGGACAACATAAGAAGTATAATGGAATGTAAAGTAAGGGCTATAAAGTAATTAAGTTGTGAAGAGCTGTTACCCCAAAATTGGCTAATATATTCTTTTTGAGACCTCCGTGGTTATAACATCAGCTACAGTCAAGCATGTACCCTCTTCAGCCTTGCTCCAGAAGCTGTGAAGTTGTGTTAGTGTGGTGCTGAGTGAGCTCAGGCTCCTGAGATGCTGGGAGTGTTACTCTGGAGTCGGTTCCATAGTAAAGAGGCAGCTCTGCATGTGGTAATGTAGACAAGCTCCAAGACATGCACATTCTATGAGTTATTCTCTACATCCGTTACTTCTTGATCAGCTGTTAAGTTTTTAATCCCCATTTTTTAAGAGAACTTAAATGAAAAATATTAAAGGTATCGTTCCGAGCCTGAAAAGTTCACAGTATATACATGCAGGATTGCAAGTTAAAAAAGATTAAAAGGTTGCTAAGGAACTATAAAATACAAGGTAGTTTTTTGTTTAATTTAAAAGCAAATTAAAAGAAATATTAGCTTTGAAGTTGCACATCATAAATATTCAGAAGAAACCTTCTAGCTGATACGTGGCAACATATGAGAAGTATAAATTATGACTCACTGGTCTTTTTCTAAGAAAATCTTCTGAAATCTAGTATATGGAATAGATTGTATTAGTACGTAGGATATATTTCTGAGCCACAGATAGCAGACCCTCTTGCTATCTGTTGTCTTACACGAAATATTTGTGCAGCAGTAAGTTTTACTTAACTGACTTACAAATATGTGTTACTGATTTAAAGCAAAATAGTAATAACATCATTTAAAAAAAAAGAAGACAGACAATATATATTTTTCTTGAAATATTTAATACAACTATTTGCAACATAGTTTCAAGCACAAGTGTTTAGAGTTTCGTTTTCTTTCAAAAACTCCTATTGAAGTCTGACACCACAGACAAATAGGACTGAGATCAAAACAGGCGATTTGATCGCCAAATAATGTCTGACTGTATTCTGGATCAGACAAAAGAGGTATTCTGTACACACAGACCCAAAACATAGATTCAAAGTGAAATTCAAAGTGATTTCTCTGAAAGTCATGAAATAACCTATAAAAATTGTTAAAGACTTCTTAAAAAATAGCATGTGCTAAAAATCTAAAAATTTACATATTGCATTTTAGCAGATTCAGTAAAATAATTCCAAATCTCACATATAAAAGGAGAAGTCTTATCCACAAAGATTTTAATATTATTAAGGAAAATATGGTTTCATTACAATAGTTTCCTTGAGTGTAAAAAAAAAAAGTTGTCAAATTCTACATTATAAAAGAGTGTTTATATTCACCTTGAATTTCAGGAAGGTATCTGAAAATATTACTTCAGAAGTCTATCTTCTGATTGAAACAACGTCTGCAATCCTCTGCGAACATTACACAGTTCCTCTTCTTGCTGTGCAAAAAGCATTAAATTTATCACATACTTAAAAAAAAAAGGAAGATTTCATTTAAAGTATTGTAATTCTGGTGCATAGTATATGCTGGTTTTAACACATCAGATACGATACTTTTCTTTTCTACATCAACATTCAACATATTAAGACTCAGAACTAAAACAGTATATCCGTATCTACCTGCTGCTTTTATCACTCAGGTAAGGTTTAAAGTATAACATGTCAGTGATACTTGGATTCTGACTCATTTTTATTTTTGATAGGGGACTACAGATTACAATTTTTAGTAATTCAGTGTTCAAACAGCTATAGTTAATAAATAAAAGTGAGGACAAGATAACTTCATTTACCATTTCTTTAAGAAGTTTCTCTTGGAGTCCTTTTATGTCTTCTTTCATCAGATGCATCTATAAAAAGATACTGAATGCATCTTCTCTGCTTACAATTGGTAACCCATTTTCAAGAAGACAATTACATCCCTTAATGGTTTATAACCGAGAGATACAGATGCACATGCATCCACCTGCCTAAGGGACGGGACGTGTGTTTTAAATTTGTTCTTTCTTGTATGATTAACACTGGTAAACAAAGTCACAGAATAAATCTTGCAGCAGTTTTCCAGATAATTGCACACAACTTCTAATGGGTGAAATCTAGCCCTAAAATAGTGAATATTGTTACATTAAAGGATGTTTTATGACAATGAAAAACTACAAAAATACTTATGTGGCATTAATACAATGCTGAGGATAAAGACTTTCTTTGGAAAAAAGTCAATACTGATATCTGTTGGTAAAATTAAAGAATTAAAAATTATTAAAAACAATAAAGAAACAAAAGTTCATCATACCTCTGAAGTAAAAATATGTTCTTCATAGTCAACAGTATGGTAGATGTTCTTTTCAAATGAAGTTTTAAGAATCTGAATTCTAAAGAAATAAAAGGCAGTTCAAATAGCTTTGCTACGTATGAACTTCCCACACACATCATAAAATACATCCCATTATTTGTAGTCTATTTGTACTGAAAAGCATGGATAAATATTACCATCATTGTTACTATTGGAATAGTCCAGCAGGTATGTGGAGAAATTTACATGGAAAATAATTACATTTTTCCTGTAACGTAACATTTTAATGTCATCTTCTCATCTACTATCTCTATTTTATGGAAATCGCATAGAGAATAGTAGTTGGACTAACTTATACCTCAAATAAACAGAACACAAATCTCCACCCAGGATTAATGAAGCCTACTAACCTCTGTTGCTCGTTTTTCATGTATGTACTGAAAGTATGTGTATGTTTTTTCCAAAAGGTCTGGAAAGAAAAATATTAATAGATAATCAGTAGGAACTAGTATTTTCTGAACTAAAACTGACTGCTATTTAATATGAATAAAATAACCTACAACCACAGACTCATCACAGAATAGGTAGGAGTTATGCAGGTAATCAGACTTTCCATATAATTTAAGCCATGCCTTCAGAGTAAAAGAAAAAAGTGAATATAGTCCTGTGTTTATATTAATACTTGTATATTGATTTTTACATTACAACAAGTAGCAGACCCATAATGTCAACTGGCTCGTTGTAGAACACACAGCAAATCAGGTTCAAATGCCTACATGCTGTTCCTGAAATACAGGCCAGCTGAAAAAAAGGCTCATGAAGTGGGGTAAACAGCCCATTAAAAGTAGTAGTAGTATTAGTTCATTCTAGGAAGAAAAACATATAGCAGTGATATAGAAATTCTAAGAGCATAGCATTAGCCAATCCTAACATCTCAAATTCATTATCTGAAATTTGACCAAACTTTAAGCAAAATAATAAAGGCTTTTAAAATCAGAATTAATGATCTGAAGTTAAAGATGGTATGAATAATGTATGGTTCCGTAAGAATTCACTTTTCTCCATGATCAAGCAATTAAAATACAAACCGAGAATTCTTTTTCCAAGTTTTTCAGGGACTGAGAATCTTTTTCAAAATTCTCAAGTTCCTCAAGGAGAGCAAAATGAAATTTGTCCAGCTGCCTGATCCTACCAAAACAAAATGAGTTACTTTTAGAAAGTATTCATTGCATTTTAAGGGTGTTTTAAAATAAATCTTTTGTTACAGACCTGCATTCATGAAGCTGGTAACTCATTGTTGTCAAATGCTCATGGGCAGCTCTTAATGATTGCTTAGTAAAATGATCCATTTTCCGTGAGCGGCTCTATGAGGATGTTTTAACATTAAATTCAGATTATTTTCACTTTAGGAAAAAAACCTGTAGTATATGTTTAGTACTGTAATTGCTTAGTATCACAGATCATACTGAGTAAAAAAAACCTTTTTTTATCATCTCCCTATCCTGTAAGGAAAAGCTTTCTGTTAATGAAATGTAAATAAACACGGGTTTATGTTTTTGATAAAACTTCTACCTAATTTAGTTAGGAGTACATTATTTGAAAAATATATTTCCTCAAAATAGAGAAAGTACACATGGAATGAATGATGTATGCTTACAGCTGTCTTAGATGAACAAATGCATTATTCAGGCTCATGTTTTCCTTTTTGGAAATAGATTTTATTCATGGATTTGATAATTTGAAAAAATCAAAATGCAGTACGCTCATTACTTTGGATAGATAAGCTTGTTTTGAGACAGGATAAAAAATAAAACAGACCTGGGAAAGAAAATCATTCGAGAGTTACGTACGTAAAGGAATTAAAAAAGCCGTAAAAGGAAACTTGAATTCTGTCATTTCGTGAAGTTCTACGCACATAGCTGTTTTCATGTCCTGTTAAGCAAGTTCTGTGGTGTAAGACAAGCTATCATTCATATGCACATGTACCCACACAGACAACTAATATTGTATATGAAATGTCTTGCCTCGATTTTCTTAGTAAATTCTTTTTGGAGCTTCTGACATATACTGATAGTTGAACAACCAGGTTCCCAGATTTCCCCATCCATAACAGACAGATCTTTTACAGATACAGTAGATATACTTTCAGACACTGAGGAGAAGTAAAAAAAGATAATGTCACAATTCAGTATGAAAAAGTATCCTATCTGAAGTTATAACAGGGCCTAAACCAGCTTTTCTTATATATAGATTTATTTCAGTTAGATGGCTGAGACCAGTTTTTATTTTCATACCAATTTTCTGACTTTTTAAATGAATATAGTCTCTAAATATTTAGCATTTATTTTTAATTCTTTTTTTAAAGATGTAAAATGCTTTTTTACAGATATTATCTTTTCTTGTTAAAACTTTGACTTGTTACGTTATTTTAAACTTTTGCACAACTATAGTCAACTTCCACTCCATAACTAACCCCTGTAAGTAACAGCGTCATCTGTTTTAAATAATTTTCTAGGCTGTAACTTTGTTCTTCTGTTTCCTTTCTTTTCCTCCTCTTTGCTTGTTTCTACTTCATCAGAATTGCTTTCTGTATCACTGTGGTACCTTCGTTTGAGAAATGTCTGTATAGTCGGTCCTATAATAAATAGGAAAACAATGCTTAATTTTAGGATTATTTAGAACAATGACATGGGAGGATAAAGAAGAGTTTATTGACCCTTTGGATCCTAACTCCAGGAGTATATGTCTTGGTTTTAATGCTTGAGAACTATATAAAAATTAATAAGCATTACATTTATGGATGGCATGTTCAGTAGATATGAGAACTTGGTGTAAGTGATCAACAGGATTTCAGTGGAACACAGAACACACTGACCCACGCAAGACTCGCTCATTAAAGAGATTCACCCTAAGCCCTCTTTTCCTGATAATACCATTACCCGCCCCCCCTTTTTTCCCAGTATCAGTGGGAATGCTTCTAACTCTTTGCAGTAACTGCATTTTGGAGCCAAATTTTCTGGTTTTTTGGGGGTAATTAAAACAGTAAAGAAAATGCAAGCAATTTCGGAGAAATTGCAACCATTACGGAGACACATAGAAAGTCTTTCGCTTTAAATTAGATGTTTGTACCCGACTTATGTATGGGGCCATAAGGTTCTTCACTCCAAGACTGTACTTTACTTCCACTGGAAACAGACAATGGAGATGGTGGTACACAATCCTAAAAGAAAAGTCACTGATTTATCAGCTTCCAAATTAAAGCACTTTTAGAAGTCTTCAGAAATCCACACTTATGTTGCTTTTCATTAAACTAGGGACATGAACACAACTACAGTAAGGGGGGGG